ATTAGGGACGGCTGGCCCCCGAACACCTATGCAGACGACAACCTGGTGTGCGCAGCACGTGACCTTGTTACTGCAGTTTGTAGTGTTTTATGTCATGCGAAACATAAATATTAGTTGTACCGCTTCACTTCCCCATGACATAAAAAATAGTAAACAAAATATCGATCAATTACATGAACCACACTTTTCATTGTATCACATGTGAACGGGCAGCATGTGTGAGTCTTTCTCTACCGAAAGTTATGGCACTAGCCTACTTTGGAACGCCGATAAAAAATACGAATCTGTTATGTGTCGAAAGATAATACGTTTTTCGATGGGATTGAGCGTAGAGCACGGATTACTCCCTCTGGTAAGGGAGAGATACACACAATCCCCACACCAATCGGCGTGATCAAATTGACGACTCATCAGTTGTTCTACGCGCACCCGTTTGTTAACGTTCAGATATATGGAGATGCTCTTACCCACGAGAGTATTATGGTGGAATTTAATCGTTTCTAAGGGTTTTGTCATTGTGGACATACTTTTTCGTTTCTTTTCGTTAGTTACGAGCCATTGAGAAGGAATGGTATGTTGTTTTTGGCCGTTACATTCATTTGCTTGAACCGCTTTTGAAGGCCAATTTGTAAACTAGGAAGACAGACTCTCCCATGTATTGTTCGGATGGTTAATAAGGAGCCTTTGGCGCTAAAACGTTTATTTTATAATTTCCAGTGAGCCATCCATGTGATCTGAAGGATGCTACAAGACGATCGGGCCTATTCGGAGATGGGTAGTTATATCCCCCCGTACTCCACGGAATTCGGTTACGATATGGACCGCGATCAACCGTTATTTCCGGCTGATTCACAGGGAATTTCTAGTCCGGTAGACGGTAAACCCAAGATTTTTCTCATGGGACTTCGAAAGTTTGTTATACATATGCAATTGACAGTGATATTTCAGGAGCGGCAAGTCTTCAATTCAGCGAGTTGTGTTCCATAAAATGGCCCCAAATGATACTCCCTACCTGGAAAGTACTCACCGGATAGAAAAGAACGGTAGTTAATATTGTCGTTCATGTCACGTTCCGTTTAGACGTTTCCGACTGTTCCTTCATCAAATTCCAGATATGGGATTTTCCCGGTCAATTCAACTTTTGCGACGTTCTATTTCAGCCGGAGCTTATATTTAAAGCCTCATGCGCTGTGATATTCGTAATTGACGCACAAGTGAGAATTTCTCATTTTCGATGTAGTGCTGTTTCTTGTCCGATGTAGCTACCTTACTGAGTGTTGATTTGTAACTTTTTTAAAACATTTTCTAGTCTTTATGTCTTGGTTTGAGCTGTACAACAACACAACAGCGCTTGTCTTTAGTCACAAACTAAGGTGTGGTCTCTCGAGGGAGAGAGGCCAAATCACCTCGTTCCGCTCTATGTTTCTTGGAGGAGAGATTACTGTACCTGTTTACTGAATATCACAAAGAAGGCATCCGTCCATTTCAGTTAACCAAGAATGCGTTGGCTCCAGCTACTAGGCTTTGGTTACTGAAAATGCGGTGACCAGGAGAAGTATAGCCATGCATCGAAAGCGTAATCAGCATAATCACTTCGTTGATGTTGGGTCATTCTGGTTGTCCAGCTGATGCAGGGGTGCCACTGTCCTCCTTAATAACTAGTGTTGAACTGAATCCCGGGGTCGCAGGGGGCGGAAACCCTACTGATTTCAATGATTGGGATAATCACACTCCGTTGCCGGGTCGTGGACTGTCCGTCTCTCGATCGCTAAGCACAGGACTGGATGGGTCTCTGCCATTCATAGTAGATGTTCCAACCAGCGTAACCTCTGATTAGTTCGTCAATCGCGACAGAGTTCCTTTCTCCTAGGGCCATATGGTTTAACTTGGCGTTGCGAGGCCTATTTTTCCTACCAGATCCGTACAATGCTTCAGAGACATCAGTGTTCAAACACAAACTTTTCCTAGGGGGCACGTTTCTGATTCATAAAGCACTATGGACCGCGCTGTCGCAGTGTATATTCCGTCCTTAACAAACAAACTGACGTTCCGCCTTCACCATAAGTGTCGAAGGTTGACAAGGGCTTTCCTGGCCATCGAGACGTGATCCTGTCTTCAGCCTGTCAATTTCCACTTACGCAACTACCCTGCTAGGCAAAATTCTCTCTCTCTCTCTCTCTCTCTCTCTATATATATATATATATATATATATATATATATGCTGTCGGTAAAACCATAACATTGGCCAGCATCACCAGCAGCAGAGCTATTATTTAGAAATATCATACCAAAAGTGGTATTCTTTGGCACTTTTTCATATGGCATCTCAACTGATGCGCGCAAGTCCCCCAGGTTAGCTATTCAGATTAGGTCCGCCTCCGAAAGAACCTTTCATTCATAATTAACTTTGGATACCGACGACCTTCTAAAACCACATGTGTATGATCACTTGGCGCTGTGTGGTTTCCTGACTGTCTACTGACGTGTATTATTCTAAGCTGTTGTGTATATGCAGGATCAGCTGCAACAAGCAGCTGAGACTACTACTGAGCAACCCGGGAAAAAATGTCGCTATGCGTCAACCCCCTCCGGATGGAGTCCCCGACACCTCAGTTCAGCAAAACAGGAATGGAGTTTGTGGAGCACTGTCCAAGCCTTTGTTGCCCCAGTAGCACACTGTCTGTTTGACTTTTCTTTTGAAGATGTTGTTAAGGCTAGTGCAGCTCCTTCAAAATCCAGAAGCGATCTTGGACAAGCCATAGCCCGCGCATGGTGACTAGACGGAGTGTTCCTGTCCACCATCTTGTACACATCGGCGCAGCATCCGACACTTGAGCAGTTTTCACTTGTCATGCCTGTAGTGAATACTTGGTGTCTGCGGACTGAGTGACAGCAAACCGCAGAGGTTCCCTGGCACTCGCTTTCTGAGGGGATGACTGCTGAGTAACACAGTTGTCTACTGAGCCTTGGACATGTGTCAAATGGAGGCGAACAAGGTCCGAAAGGAGTTTCTGCATGGTCACCGAGAATACCAATAAACGGAACCTGGGCAGACAAAATCGTGACACTTAATCGCAAAGGTTAAAGACTGCTAACATCAAGCTGATGAAGTTGGAAGTGGGGGTACAAAACAGTGCCGGATGAATAAAGATGACAAGGCGTGGCGTTCATCAGTTCAACGAAAGATAAATTCGAGGCAGAGAACTAAATTACGAAATGCGCAAAGGCCTGCTGAGATCTGTCAGACCTGGGGTTAGAACAAGGTGAATACGACTGGACGAAAATCACCTTATCGGCCAGAAAGGCCAAATCATAATGAGCCACAGTAAGACAAGCGCTAATGACCTGTTTTGACTGCTTCGCAGTTCAGGTCACTGATTTGCCCGAAAGAAACAAATATGTGTTCAACTATCTTAAAGTCTCTATGCTCCAAGACACTGGAAAATTCGATGTTCTGTGCCTCTGAAAGTGCCAGAACTGGCTGCCAATCGAAATCGACGTACAGACCACAATATTTTAAAACGGTCCTGACCACAATACAGTTCTGTTCTGCTCTAGGTTTACTGACACTGCGTCTCTAGGCCACTTAATTCAACTACTACGTTGTTCCCAATGGTGTCTGTAAAAAGCCTGCCTGAAGACTCTAGGTACCATGAGGCGTTAAAACTACTGTCCTGTCTGGAATGGCTTTCTGTGACAACCTTGGCTGGCGCTGGTTACGTCACATGTGTACCAGTCGGCCGTATCGTATGGTTGCGAATCGTGGGTTTCAGCCGTTTGGTTTCCCAAAGGTGAACCATCGTTTAGACAAGCCTCTGACTTCACAACTGCCCTGTGCACCATCTGGTCTCATCCAGGTTTACATCGGCCGCAAGGTTTTTAGGTGGTTAAACACACGAGTCGGCGCATTCAGTATCGTGTAGTATGAACAGGGCTTCATCGATGTATTCTGATGTGATAGATGAATCCGTAGACGCCTGCTACAAAGTTTCCGTCAAGTGTACTCTCCAATTCAACATGTTTCCCTTCAAGTTCGTTTACTTGGATTGCTGACAGTTTGTCTGTCAGCGATAGTGTAAGTGAATTCACTTCAGAACCCACCGAGAACCAACCCCGAATAACTCATTTACCACTCAGCTACGGCGCATGAACTTGCTTCTTCCAGAAGTCAGTGACCAAACGTCTACAGCCAATCTTGCTTTCACAACCTTTTACGTCGCAAGGTCAGGTTACCAAGGTGAACACCATGTGACTATTTTACTGGCTGTCTGACCTTATCTAACAATCTGTTAGTAAGTTGTTTGACTGTCTTCTTGGTAAGAAGTCCTTCCAAAAATGGAGACCATCATTTTTAGTAATTCACTCTGCGGGCGGACAAACTGTACTAGGGTTAACGTCACTTGTCGTGTTGATGTGTGAACCACGCGATCAAGCCAGGAACGACCGTGGAACTAATGCATCCGATTCCACATCTTAGCTCCATCGCGCCCTGCTGACGATGTGTGCTAAAGTTTGTAGCACTGGCATGAGAATGAAGAATAATATGTGGGCCCACCAAGTTATATTTCCTTATTTAATCTCATGTCATGGCCAAACTTATATTCATTGAAATGTTACTTTACCGAAGGCGTATGAATTGATTATTCCTAGCCAGTATATTAATATATCCCATATTGACCAAAGACTTTATTTCTTATCCAAAAAAGTGTACTACCAAAAATGTGAAAGATACTTCGGAATCCTTCATTTCTGACAACCATGTCACTAGGGTCCCGGCTCCACGACTATCGAAGAGAGGTGCGCTGACACGCTGGAATTTGACCTTATTGCATACACGGAGCCTCTCTAGCCAGGTCAGTCAGTGAGTATCAAACTGACGGTCACTCTCAGATCAGAGGTTGATACTATTCCGACGAATCATTCCTTTAAGCTTAGGCCACTCATATGATCCTACGCTAGTATATGTTGCTTTGTATTGAAACGCTTTGGTTGAGGACGCCAGCCGTCCTTCTGTCAAGGTTCGGATGCCCTAAAAACCATCCGCGACTACCTGCACAATGAGCGAATGTGAGCAGCTTTGTAGATCTCAGTTGTAGGCACGTCAGTCAGGTCCTCAGGGGCTTCACCAATCACATGTCAGCGCAGGTATTTATTCGGTCCGCTTGACGTATTCAGGCGGTGTTTTCTTATTTTTATTGAAGTAGTTCACTTTCAGGGCGGGACACTCTCCAGTATAGCTCAATGGATCGCTGAGGTGCGCAAACCGCCACAGGTAAGTAAGGTCCGGTCTCGTAGTAGCACTTTATAGTTCTGAACCAAGGAGGGCACTGTTGTCTACGTCCACTGAGTGTCTGTGAGCACCCTGACCGCCACACCACGGTAAGGTCCAGTCTCGTAGTAGCACTTTATAGTTCTGAACCAAGGAGGGCACTGTTGTCTACGTCCACTCAGTGTCTGTGAGTGAGCACCCTGAGAGCCAATATAAAAGGAGTAGTGAGGCCATCCTCTAATCAGAAGCAGTTGTGCCTATGACGGTTTGTACTGTCCTCTACCACAGCGTTTATTATTAAACACTGACCATTCAATCATTGGCCGATTATGTATAAAACCGATGTACTACCAAACCTTGCGAGGAGGTTGATGTGGCTCCGATGCATGCACTTGCGTGGCCCAAGATTTTAGGTGTATCAAACTTGTGTCTCTGAGCTTTATGTAAGGTTCTGTGGTTTTGGGTCCTTTTTGCTTTGTGGTCATAGCTCAGTGTACTCAAGAGCAGCTGCCTAAATATGCTTGGGCAATCCATAAATGCCAGCCACTTGTCAACATCTAGTTAGTTACCAGAGTCCGACTAAACTGCTTCAAGAATCGAGGCTCCAAGTACTACATTGCCTTCGAGTCCTTGAGCGTTCATAAAAAAATCCCGTCAGCCAATACTATGATTATCATTCTTTTGAGAGAATTCGCTGTGTGGTCTCTTCAGAGAGGTTAGTTTTTTTTAGTGTAAGACAGCCGTATTTTCTACTATATTCACCGCGGGTGCAATTGTCGTTGAACGAATACCAGTTTGCTGTTGATGTCTTTGGTCTTTTCTACTTCATAGCGTTTCCAGTGATCCACGTTCTCTTCTGTTTTCCCACAGGATGATTATCACGAAGCCGTAAACGAACTTCACAAAATTTTGAAAAAGGCGCTTCATAGCAATATGAACATAAAGTTTGACGTCTTCATCCACAAGGTGGACTGTTTGAATGATGACCAGAAGATTGATATTCAACGGGACATCTCCCAGCGGGTGATGAGTGCCGCTGAGGACACGTACTGTGACAGCGGAGCCTCAAATTTGTATATAGGGTGAGTTAGTGAAGGGCTCTTGGACTGTCTGCTGTTGTCTACTTTTTTCGGTCGTTGATCCAGCGGATGGCATCAGGATCTTAGCATCCAACACGGGTTGCGTTATGAAGCATTTCTACACTTGCGCTTCACAACAGCCCTCACCAGTGGTTCGCGTACACACAAATTTAAGACGCTTTCAGCAAACTGTCTTTCCGATTCACCTCTTGAAATGTGCTCGTTTATGCGTCCAAATTGACGATAGTCAACAACGACGCAGTTGTTTCATTAGTTTGGCACAAAGCTAACCATATCTATAAGTCATGTACATGTACGCGAAATGCACTCATTTTTTCACCAATCGGTAGAAGCAGCTGAATCTCTTATGATACTCTTTAGCTGATTGTGCTGCACGAGTTCTTCCAATGTTTCAGTTGGTACGATATTCGAGATATCACAGTATATTTTATTAAAAGATACCACTCATGATTCTTTGACAGTCTATGACCGATTTCACCCTTGTTCACAATCTGATATTATAATATCGAGCGTACAATACACATTCGTGCTTCCCCATTTATACGTCTTGTTATGGACTGGGCCATGTCTGACAATGTCTCTAATCATTGATACGTCCCATTTCGGAGTCCTCATCCAGAGAGGTGACTGTGATCAGCGCAGCTGAGTTTGCTGGTAACGATATGCGTGCTTGGCTGCCAAGTCGTTGACCTCCCCTGGCTCATTTCTGCGGTTGAGTGGTGTGATTGGCCTACCGGGCTTCTTGAACCAGTGTATGTGTCTATCGGTCGACCCACGTCTCAAAACTGCCCAGGCTGGTAGCGCCACGGCACTTCAAACCTGAACAATTTCTTTTGGTTGTGGGTAGTTGCCGAAGTCGATTTTTGTGTTCACACGGGTTTGTATGAACTTACTAGAGAGGTCGCGTTGAGACAGGAGAAGGATTGTTCAAGTGTGTTATGAACCCTGCGACCACGCCCAGCTGCTTTACACGTAATTAACCCGCGTTACACTCCAGAACAACAGTGTCCAAACCTGATCAGTTGGTTCAGTGTGACATTGTTGAAATTGAGCTAGTCCGTTTTTTGTGCTCAATCACACTATCTGATCGTCGTGTTTTCACCAGTCGGTTGACTCCAAAGGATCTACTCAAGTTGACTGACGTATCAGCATTAAAATGTGATAATGCGAACTGCGAGAAGCTGGTGTTTCGAGAAGAATTGATGTCAATCTTACGACCTATGTAAATAACGTGTTCGACGATCGATAAATTTGGGTTACGATCAATCATTCTGCGTTGACTCCGATCTGGTATGCTCTTCCTCTGCAGGAAATATGTTGGTACATATTAGGAGCAGCTAAATGCGGATGGCACTGCAAATACTCGACAGGGAACTAGTTTTTACTAATGTACAAATACAATCAGACAATTTACTGATTGACTGGTACGGAATTTACAGTACAAAAATACATAAAGAGGCAATCCTCGAAGTTACACATATTCAAGGGTCACGTGTTTGAGGCGATACAAAGTGGCAGAACACCGGTAGTACGGGAGTAGATCGGTCAGTATTGAGTCACAAAACTGACAGCTCTGAATGGCTGGAAATCGCGTGATCTGCAGTGGGTTTGCTTGGTCCAAGTCACGGTTTTAGTAAGTTTCGGTATACTTTGTGCCAGTTGGGCTGGATGACTTGTGATTGGAGCTTCCCTCCGACTGGCATGGGACGGGACGGGAGAAGCAGGACTTACTGATGTCGTTTATGATGGAAATTACGGACGAGTTCTAAGCCCACAGGCCGAGTGCAAAAACTCCAGAACTACCTAGAACATGGGCATGCGTAGCTGCGGGGATGATCCTGGCGAAGTTAAGGGATAGAGCTCGGTTCTTCTTGAGTTTCTCGGGGGATCGCATCTCATTTAGTGGTCACACACGTACAGGACCCGGGTAATAGCGTGACTCACTCCTGTCAATCCGATTTTGGGGCTCGGAACATACTTTTCAAATCTTAAGGCGACGTTCTCTCCCCAAATCGTTCAAACAACGCCCTAGCCAAGGAGTCAGTTGTTCAACCATAAACCGTCTTAATGATTCTAGTCGGTGCACTTTTGATCACCGAAGATAACGAGAATAAGAGAATGACAGACACTTTTCGAAGTGTCCTACCCTGGTTCAATGAAGTTAGGTCGTTATGCTCCTCCGACAAAATGGGGTGATAGAGTTGTGCATTGGAGGATCTAATGGGCCACATTAGTCAGGTTCACTAACAATGTGTAGGTCCCGAGCCGGGGTCCCCACCCAGTGGAAAGACATAATAGCTAACGGGTAAAATCGAATTAATGTGTCTGACTATGGTCTTCCATGGATTCTACATAAACGATGGCATCAGCTAGGTGGACACGTACGTCTTTAGGATTCCATCACTCACCGTTTGAACGTTTTTGCTCACATTGTGAACCAGACTGGTGTGACTCGAAGAGCTCGGAAAATGATGCGGATGATTTGTCATCAATCTTTGTCAAGCTACCTCAGAGGGACTGTATTCAAAGTAGTTTAAATTTTTCGAAGCTTCTGCAAAAATTCAGGGAATGGGGCAAAATATCTGCCTTCAGTGAACTCGATGAACTCAAACGAAGCGAATTATCCGACATTTTGATATTTCGCCTGCGGACATAGCTTCACACTGTCCCTGTCACGTCATCTGCGGTGCTTGCTCGATTTTCTCAGAAAGTAGGTTACCGAGGACCGAATATTTTTTCAGCAGACGAAGCCAATTCCCATTGTTTTCGTATTAGCTTCGTGCGCGAACACCTTTCGGCTGCTTGTACGGAATGTCGCCGCACGGTCGATGGACATTTCGTCTAGCGATGAACCTTCGAGGCCAAAAGTATTTGAGCGTGGGGGTGCTTGGATCTTTGGTCGTCTCAGCGAACTCCTAATTTGAAGCCATTCGTTTGTTTTGGAATGCCTGTAATCTAATCTTTCTTGAGCATTATGTGGGGTTGGACTGGACAGTGATCCCGTAAAATCTTTAGCTCGAACACTTTCAGGTGTTTTTGAACAGGATTGATCCACCAAAGGAGCTTGCCTTTGCACTTCAGCACTGCGGTTGCTGGTGAATGTCCAAAGATGAGCTAACGGCCCAGTGTTCTTCGGTCAAACAGACTATGTTTTCATCTGTCTTTTTTACTTAGTTTCACGAAACTGTCGTGATCGTTACTAACCTTTGATAACTGCATTACGTAGGACCTCAGCAGTGCACCGTCTCACTATAGTCTGCCTGTTCTGTACAACGACAGATTTCATCTCACGACAATATATGATCATTCCATCTTCGAGGCCTTCAGCAAGGTGGTCCAGCGACTGATTCCCTGTCTTGACGCGTTTGAAGAGCTTTTGGACATATTCATTACGGTGAGTTGGTGCTTCCTGTTTGCTGCATCTTTTTGAAGTATAGTTGATACTAAATTTGGTTTGTTCGCTTTGGTTTATAGATTATCCTTTCAGAAGCTGACCGACATTACCCTCACCAGCGTAAAATGCTACATTCTGTATTGACTGTAGCCGTTTTCTTACTGCTTCAGGTCGATCCCCGTTAGGGTTTTATTCTGAACATCCGCTGGTAATAACACCGTATGGAAGGCTCCAACCTACTGCAGACTAGCAATTAGCTCAGTATTTTGGAGAAAATACTTACATGATGTCGTGAGCTAATTGTCCAAAACCGCGCAGTGCATGCTCCCCTCATAGAATTCTACCCAATACGATGGCGATACTACTGCCGAACGCCGTCACCTTTTGTGTTTAACAACCGAATTAGACTGTTTTGAGGTTACCGATCGGAACTGCGAGCATACGACAGAGGGATTTTGTAGCTATCTTGTGTAAATGTGCCATCTGCTCGTTGTTATTCGATTACAATTGAAACTGCCTATCTATGTGTCAATTTATTTCAAATAAAAATGCGACTGAATCCCGAAAAACTCAGTCACACCAGGCCACCATCGTTGAAGGGGTGTGATCGGTCATATGACCCTGTGTTTAGTAGTTATGCATTATGGGGGTGGGGGAGTAGACGGCTCAGTCGTTAGAGCACGAATTTACTGACCGTGGTTCGAACCCGACCGTTGGTCTCGACTTCGGGGGTGGGGGAGTAGACGGCTCAGTCGTTAGAGCACGAATTTACTGACCGTGGTTCGAACCCGACCGTTGGCTCTCGACTTCCCCTGTCTAGGCTTAGGCAACCTGGCAGTATCCCGGCCTTCGTGCTTCCTTCGGGTGGCATGGCAGTTAGGCATCGAAAGGGTATTGCAGCTGGACGATTTTTTAGTCATCCATTCTAACTTAGTGTGTTGATGTCAGTCAGGTTTTCGCATTTCTCCAACGATGCAACAGTGACACTGACCTGACGTTCATCATTTGCGGTCCATTATTGTTCTATTCTGCAGAACTCCATGGTCGACAAAGCCTTCCTGTTCGATGTATCCTCCAAAATCTATTTGGCCACAGATTCATCCGTGGTGGACATGCCCACATACGAATTGTGCTGTGATATGATTGACGTCGTGGTTGACGTGGCCGCAATTTACACGTACGTCTTTTTTATGGCTTCGCAGCCATCCTGAGATATGCGGGATCTGTGCTATTTTCCTTGAAATTGCATTGGAAAAGTATGACGGGATGACAGAGTTTGTTCTGTAAAACTGGTCACATGATTTGCATACTACTGTGCTTTGCCGTACAACTTGCTAGTGAATTAAACCAACAATCATTTTTCATTTTGGTGCTTTCCCGTCCTGAGGACATCGCCTGGGTTGACTGCGCGCTGAGGTTACTCATGCCCAATTTCTTGGAGCTAGGAATCCAATGAGCACCCGAGGAAGGACCTGTGAGAGACGGTCATTTTATTGACCGACTCTTTTTTAACCGGTTGGCCAATCCTCAAAAGCCTGAAAAAAGTTACCAATAGAAAACTCAGCACTGAAACAAACACAAATTCAGTCTGTCTTTTGGACTGGATAGACATCCCTGTTGTTTAAGGCATAAGATCTGGTGCTTCGCAACCTCTCTACAACGGGTCGGACTAGTCATTTCTGAGGATTTTGAAACCTGGTGCATGTCCTTTTACGAGGTGCACCATTCGGGGGCATCTGAACTGTTTCAACCTGGGGGATGGGAGGTTGGGCTGAAAACGGTACGGGGATATGAAAACGTTTTCTAGCCGCTCGTTAGTGTGCACTGACGATTTTACCAACTACCAAGCTCGGCGAACAGATCAACAAACAAGCAGTGCCCCCCGAGCTACCTATATTCCGCAACACCATGCAAAGTCAAGATGTTCACTGTACGTATTGTTAGTATTTTATAAAAAATATTAGGTTCTGCTAGGTCGCTCAATTTCCTCCGGGTCCAGCAAATCACTGTTTCACCTCCCCCTGTTGTTACAGGAAGGGCCATTTATTTGCATACACGATCTTTCTATGGTCACCAGAATCTGCGCCCCATGATTTATTGATGTATCAATTGGTAGTTGTTGGATTTTTCGAACTCACGTTAACTTCCCTTCCGTTTGAACAGTTCTGGTGCCGTTTTTCTTCGTTTTGCAGTGTGCTCCGTACCTGAAAGTCTGGCAACGTATTCACACTACTTTGTTTACTCTGTCATTCTAGAAGGCGAACAAGCAGTGCGGCGTCTACTCAACTACAAAACACCAAATTTGCTGTCCTAATTTGTTTGGGATGAGTAGAACTCAGTCCATTTCGCTTCAGGAACCAAGTGAAATAGGTTCAGATCGTAGATGACCATGGCGGCTTCTTGTGTGTTTGTTCTTTTCCTCATGCCTAACGTTCAGTTGTAACACCCCTTCGGTGCCTAACTGCCATTCCACCCGAAGGAAGCACGAAGGCTGACCAGGTACCCAAACCCAGGCAGGGGAAGTCGAGAGGCAGAGGTCGCGTTCGAACCATGGACCTTCCGGTCAGTAAATTCGCGCTCCAGCCACGTGAGCCATCTCGCCTTATGCCTGGTGCAGTGTGTTTCCTGCCTGTTTACTGGAGCTTGATGCAGTTCAGTGATTGGGACGCGAACATACTGAAAGTAAGGTCCTTGATTCGAACTCAACCCCTGCAATCTTGACTGCTTCTGTCTAGACTTGGATAACTTGGCAGTATCTCAACCCTCGTGCGCTTCTTTAGGGTGGCATGTAGAAAAGGCACCGAAAGGGTGCTACAACTGGACGATTACTATTTTTATTATTGTTACTGGAAAAATTGGTAGCACGGGATTCGCACCGGAAACTTTTTCAAAGATGTTTTCTATTTTGAGGTTTTGCACGGAGAAAATATCGCATTCACAAGGTAAAATGAAAGCTGAATTGCAAAGACAGTTGTTTCACGATGTTGCTAGGATGGAGCCTTACCATAAATAGGTATACTACATTGGTCGTCTACTTTTAGGAGCTTCAGTGCAGCTTTTCACTGTGTACTGTGATATTTCCCGTAAGTCGTCTTACACGCAGATTGCTGTGCTTTCCGTATGCCACAAAATGAATGCGTCTCCTTGTTTCTGCTCAGTTTACTTCTACTAATTAAGAGTTCCGCTGTCATTGCGGATAAAATCTCTGACAACTCCTCACTCAGCAGACAGATTTCTTCGAATTTTTTTGGCACCCGCTCGTATGTTGTTTGCTCCAGCTGTGGGTTTCTCAAAAAGCGCATCGCTTTCTATAGACAAACAGAACTTTGAATGCAGTGTGATATAGCATATTCATGGGGTTTCCAGGGATGGCAGTGTAAACAACGTCCGTTCCGTTTTCTAGCCGCTCGTTAGTGTGCACTGACGATTTTACCAACTACCAAGCTCGGCGAACAGATCAACAAACAAGCAGTGCCCCCCGAGCTACCTATATTCCGCAACACCATGCAAAGTCAAGATGTTCACTGTACGGTTAGTTAGTATTTTATAAAAAATATTAGGTTCTGCTAGGTCGCTCAATTTCCTCCGGGTCCAGCAAATCACTGTTTCACCTCCCTTGTTACAGGTAAAAAATATTAGGTTCTGCTAGGTCGCTCAATTTCCTCCGGGTCCAGCAAATCACTGTTTCACCTCCCCCTGTTGTTACAGGAAGGGCCATTTATTTGCATACACGATCTTTCTATGGTCACCAGAATCTGCGCCCCATGATTTATTGATGTATCAATTGGTAGTTGTTGGATTTTTCGAACTCACGTTAACTTCCCTTCCGTTTGAACAGTTCTGGTGCCGTTTTTCTTCGTTTTGCAGTGTGCTCCGTACCTGAAAGTCTGGCAACGTATTCACACTACTTTGTTTACTCTGTCATTCTAGAAGGCGAACAAGCAGTGCGGCGTCTACTCAACTACAAAACACCAAATTTGCTGTCCTAATTTGTTTGGGATGAGTAGAACTCAGTCCATTTCGCTTCAGGAACCAAGTGAAATAGGTTCAGATCGTAGATGACCATGGCGGCTTCTTGTGTGTTTGTTCTTTTCCTCATGCCTAACGTTCAGTTGTAACACCCCTTCGGTGCCTAACTGCCATTCCACCCGAAGGAAGCACGAAGGCTGACCAGGTACCCAAACCCAGGCAGGGGAAGTCGAGAGGCAGAGGTCGCGTTCGAACCATGGACCTTCCGGTCAGTAAATTCGCGCTCCAGCCACGTGAGCCATCTCGCCTTATGCCTGGTGCAGTGTGTTTCCTGCCTGTTTACTGGAGCTTGATGCAGTTCAGTGATTGGGACGCGAACATACTGAAAGTAAGGTCCTTGATTCGAACTCAACCCCTGCAATCTTGACTGCTTCTGTCTAGACTTGGATAACTTGGCAGTATCTCAACCCTCGTGCGCTTCTTTAGGGTGGCATGTAGAAAAGGCACCGAAAGGGTGCTACAACTGGACGATTACTATTTTTATTATTGTTACTGGAAAAATTGGTAGCACGGGATTCGCACCGGAAACTTTTTCAAAGATGTTTTCTATTTTGAGGTTTTGCACGGAGAAAATATCGCATTCACAAGGTAAAATGAAAGCTGAATTGCAAAGACAGTTGTTTCACGATGTTGCTAGGATGGAGCCTTACCATAAATAGGTATACTACATTGGTCGTCTACTTTTAGGAGCTTCAGTGCAGCTTTTCACTGTGTACTGTGATATTTCCCGTAAGTCGTCTTACACGCAGATTGCTGTGCTTTCCGTATGCCACAAAATGAATGCGTCTCCTTGTTTCTGCCGTTTTCTAGCCGCTCGTTAGTGTGCACTGACGATTTTACCAACTACCAAGCTCGGCGAACAGATCAACAAACAAGCAGTGCCCCCCGAGCTACCTATATTCCGCAACACCATGCAAAGTCAAGATGTTCACTGTACGTATTGTTAATATTTTATAAAAAAATATTAGGTTCTGCTAGGTCGCTCAATTTCCTCCGGGTCCAGCAAATCACTGTTTCACCTCCCCCTGTTGTTACAGGAAGAGCCATTTATTTGCATACACGATCTTTCTATGGTCACCAGAATCTGCGCCCCATGATTTATTGATGTATCAATTGGTAGTTGTTGGATTTTTCGAACTCACGTTAACTTCCCTTCCGTTTGAACAGTTCTGGTGCCGTTTTTCTTCGTTTTGCAGTGTGCTCCGTACCTGAAAGTCTGGCAACGTATTCACACTACTTTGTTTACTCTGTCATTCTAGAAGGCGAACAAGCAGTGCGGCGTCTACTCAACTACAAAACACCAAATTTGCTGTCCTAATTTGTTTGGGATGAGTAGAACTCAGTCCATTTCGCTTCAGGAACCAAGTGAAATAGGTTCAGATCGTAGATGACCATGGCGGCTTCTTGTGTGTTTGTTCTTTTCCTCATGCCTAACGTTCAGTTGTAACACCCCTTCGGTGCCTAACTGCCATTCCACCCGAAGGAAGCACGAAGGCTGACCAGGTACCCAAACCCAGGCAGGGGAAGTCGAGAGGCAGAGGTCGCGTTCGAACCATGGACCTTCCGGTCAGTAAATTCGCGCTCCAGCCACGTGAGCCATCTCGTCTTATGCCTGGTGCAGTGTGTTTCCTGCCTGTTTACTGGAGCTTGATGCAGTTCAGTGATTGGGACGCGAACATACTGAAAGTAAGGTCCTTGATTCGAACTCAACCCCTGCAATCTTGACTGCTTCTGTCTAGACTTGGATAACTTGGCAGTATCTCAACCCTCGTGCGCTTCTTTAGGGTGGCATGTAGAAAAGGCACCGAAAGGGTGCTACAACTGGACGATTACTATTTTTATTATTGTTACTGGAAAAATTGGTAGCACGGGATTCGCACCGGAAACTTTTTCAAAGATGTTTTCTATTTTGAGGTTTTGCACGGAGAAAATATCGCATTCACAAGGTAAAATGAAAGCTGAATTGCAAAGACAGTTGTTTCACGATGTTGCTAGGATGGAGCCTTACCATAAATAGGTATACTACATTGGTCGTCTACTTTTAGGAGCTTCAGTGCAGCTTTTCACTGTGTACTGTGATATTTCCCGTAAGTCGTCTTACACGCAGATTGCTGTGCTTTCCGTATGCCACAAAATGAATGCGTCTCCTTGTTTCTGCTCAGTTTACTTCTACTAATTAAGAGTTCCGCTGTCATTGCGGATAAAATCTCTGACAACTCCTCACTCAGCAGACAGATTTCTTCGAATTTTTTTGGCACCCGCTCGTATGTTGTTTGCTCCAGCTGTGGGTTTCTCAAAAAGCGCATCGCTTTCTATAGACAAACAGAACTTTGAATGCAGTGTGATATAGCATATTCATGGGGTTTCCAGGGATGGCAGTGTAAACAACGTCCGTTCAGGAATGCGCAAGGTGGGAGATTTCAGAGAACGGTTGAACATCATACCAATTGGACTCAGATCCTTATTCATTCAGTCTGACAGAGCTGATTCATGTCTGCACAGTTGTTAGCTTGGAATCAGGGTTTAGCCATTGTTCCTAAACAGATAATCAGTGAACAATCAACCAGACTGTTTCGCCCGACGTGCGAATTGCGAGNGGAAAGAAACTTCTTCAACATCGGCACAGTAAAAACAACGTTGCACTCGGATGCAAGGCATTTTCTCAATAAACCCAGGTTTTGTGATCCTTGACAGTACGAGCTTGGTCATCATTCTTAGTTGTTTTTTTCTGGGTGGATTGGAAATGTGGGGCAACAGGGCGTATCAAGGTTAGATACGCCGGAAGGCTAGTCATGTAGCAGTGGCGTGCCATTCATTTGCCGATAGTTTGTACCAAATAGGTAAAAACTAGGGTCTTCGGTTGATCGGCGAACAAAATGCTGTATTTGTAAATTTATCAGAAAACGGGGTCAGACGCACCCTCTCTGCGCTTTTCTGCTAGGAAGGCTTCTAAGTAGTGTTTAGGTGCGCGGTCTATAGTTACCAAACAGGCTAACTTGGACATGTCTTCTAATGGCTTTTGGAAAAATTCCATTGACCGTCAGGCTAACTTATCCTATTTCAGGCGATAATCAGCCTATTGTCAAGTAAAATATATCATGCTAGAGAGTAAAATTTACAGCGCAGATTTGTTGCTTTACCCGAATAACCGCCACGTTTTTGTACTCAACGTTCTCTGCTCAGTCCCCACTCTGATCTTGTGGACCCCCCGTTCTCCGCACAAACTGGAGCAACAATCATGCTGAACAATGACACTGTGTTATACCTGCGTGGAATTAATCAATACATGGCTCTGGCATGTCTAATGCACGAAGAATCGCTGGAAAAAATAGGTACGTAGCAAGTCGGTCTACATTTCTGGTCTAATCAATCATTATTACAGATCGAACTAGCCTAGACATTTCAGGGAGCTTGTTCTAACAGCAAAAGTGTACCCATTTGCATACGGTTTAGGTTTCGACCCGAAGTTCATTGCAGTACGTTAAGTGATTCCTTTGCCACCCTGTAAAAATGACCGATTGTGAAAGACTTAAGGTTACGCATCATACCTTAAGTAGTATACTTCTTCGGAGGGGTCTGCACGTATATGCAACACTTTTTGTCCATCAAGATCCAGATACCTTCGCAATCTGTGCAGACCATAATCACGCACTGAAAGAGGTTCACGAAAGTCTGTTTAAACGTAGGCATGGCGAAACACAACACAACGGCTAAGGACTGCTTTCAGTGTTTGTTGAAAAGCGAACTGTTCCACTCCCAGCGAAAAGAGATCCAGTGTCCTCGTTAACCAATTCCATTCTGACTTACCAGTTCGATTAAGTCAGTGGGACCAGATACATAAATTGTGCGATGGGGCACTCTCGTGCATAACTCAGTGGCCGCGGAAGTCTGTCTCTGGATGCCCAAAGCTAGTCGCAATAAAATACCTGTCAGACGGCGACGACGTCATAGGTTCGGTTAGGTCTTCCGGATAAGTCTTGTTTCAAAACATATTTGCGGCTAATATGGGATCGGTAAAATGTGGCCACTTTCTGAGCTAGCTCAGATGTATATTGCTAAGCTTTAGTGCCCTATTGGAGGTTGTGGATTGCTAGCCCTCCAAGTCTCGGTTGGAGTTGCCGAAAAATTACAAGACAGTTAATGAGCACAACTTCAGTTGTGCGATTGTTATTGTCTGTTTCTGGTCAGCTTTCGCCCACTTGACACGATTTGAGTCATGTGACAATCAGCCAAGGGTTTTCGTCCCTTCCGCGGTACGCACCTTGACCCCGATCATGTGGTATGTCATGCATTTTCCGCTATTTGGTTTCAATCGGGACCTCGAAAGCTGGCAAGAGGGATGTCGACCATCCACCTCCAGCTGGTCATCGCCGCTGATCAATGTAGATCTGAGTTAGTCCAGATGACTACGGTATCTATCGACAATGAGTACGTGGATTACAAGTGGCAGTTTTGCTACTACCTCAAAATATACTGTTCAACCACTTTGACTGAATTGGGACTGGAGTTGCTCCAGACATTAGATTTTACTCGAAGTCTGGAAGGTCATACCAATAAGCCGTGACAGTGCATGCAGGTCGCTCAAACACCAAGTACCGAAGATCATTTGGGAACCAAGGGGGATTTTGCCCAGTGGTAAAGACGCCAACTTATTGACTGGGAGATCCGTGGCATCTCGACTGCTGCTGTCTAGGCTTGAACAACCTAACAGTATCTCAGCTCTCTAGTGTTTCATTCGAGTGGCATTGCAACTAAGCACCGAAAGGGTGTTGTAGGTGAACGACTATTATTATTATTATTATTATTATTATTATTATTATTATTATTACAACTGAAGTACTCCATGTTACCCGACTCGGATGACCGGTCAGAAGTTCAGTAGGCAAACAACGAAGCAGACAGCTCAAAAGTCTTTCATAAACATGGGCCTCTTTTCACACGGCCCACAGTGTCAACTTGTGAAGGGTGTGATGTGGACATCATTCCCCCAAAGGTAGAATAGATACGACGCGAGGTCTCGTAAGCGTCGCAACCACCTGACCCGGATGGCTTGTATCCAGCACTTTTCAGTAGTCAGTTTGACAGTTTGGCAAATAAGAATACCGTCATACCAATCTTAAAAAGAATAAATAAAGACCGTGTGGAAGTCATTGAGGAGGGGGGTAAGTACGGTGCGTATAGCTCCCGAGGTGTTCTCTGGCCCTAATTTACCCAAATTACTCCAAAATCACAAGGGAGGATTAAGCTTGGTTCCTCCCGGATCGCACCTTCATTCTATAGTAAACACTTGAGTAGCGCCACTGCTTCAAACGGTTAACACTGGTTGCCTCCTTTGAAGACTATCTTTAGCTTCCCCGGTTGTCTAGAACTGTGACAATGTGTATGAAGCAAAATTATTCGCTACCTCCGCGGACTGACTAGGATTTCATCTGAGTTCACCATGTTAGGTGGTGTCAAGTGAGACTGATCTCTGTTTTTTGTCAGTTTTATTATCGCCATGTTGATGAAGTACCCACCGCCCTTTTTGCGGAACTCAAGTGGTCCCATCTTGTCGTCTTGTAGGCACTTACTATGCTGAAGTAGCTCTGCTGCGCTCGCACTCCAGAGATGCGAACGATTCAGAAAATCCAGCTGTGCAGTTTGGTGTCGGCTTCCTACCCTCAGTAGGTAAGGGGATACCGCAAGTCCGTTTGAAACTAAACTCAAGCCTCATCCTTGCGGATAAACTAATCGATGTGGTTGACAAGTCCATTTCCCCCAAGCGGTAGCGTCAGTTCCACGGATGTAGGCAAGGGCGAAATTATTCTTCGATTGGTGGGGTGACTACGGTAACTTTCCTCAATCTGTGGCGTCGACACAATGTCGGCTTGTTTGTTTACGACACTGTAGCGTACCCTATAATGTTGTAGGGTTCAGAAACCTGGACACTGCGGGCTGAAAATGTCGGATGGCTTGTAGTACTTAACCACCAATGTCTCCAGAGCGCTGCTCGAATCGGGTTGGAAGATTTAGCCAGCGGTGGTGATGTACTTTTGGTAGTCCTTGAGGGGAAGGATCCACCCAACAGACGAGGTGACTGCCCACCATAAGTGGTAGTTACATGATCATATGGTTCAAATGCCAGTAGGTTGACTTCACGAAGAGCCACTGTCCCTCAACCGCGTTCTGACCGAAGGCATGTAAGCGAGATGAGGTGATGATTTGGGGGGGGGGGAAGGAATCAAGACCGTAACCCGAAAGCCAGCTAGTGAAATCTCGGATAGGACTTGCTAGGCGAGACATTAATATATTTGGAGTAACCGACAGTCATAAGCCTGTTGCGCATCAAATGGCGGTTGTCGTCTTTCAACTGTAGCATCCTTTCTGTCCATAGGTGCCACACCACCCAAAGGAAGCATGAGGTCTGGGTTACTACCAGGCTCTCCAAGCCTAGACAGGGGCTGTCGAGATGCCAAGGACCTTCAAGTACTGACCTATCTCAAGTAGTCACTTTTCCATGACTACGGCATCCCACCCACCCCCTTACACACGGAGACACCCATAACAAGTTTCCGGAAGACCATCTTCACCACTATCCATTTCTCCACATAAGAATGTTAGTTATTATCTCTGATGCACAGCTGTCTCCAGCCTAATTGATGAATCAACCTGTGGCCGCTAGAACCATCTTGCTAAGTTTAACGCCTGCGATGCTGAGTTCATTCAGCCTCCTTCCGTCACCTATTATTGCATAGCGAGGGACCACTAAATGAACGTCCTCTTCCGAAAATCGACAGTGGTGAACAATGTGACCTTCATTAGGTGGAGTAAATGGCTGACTGATATGTTTCCCCAGGTTATGCGTGCGCGAAGATAATGAAGAGAAGAATGATGCAAATGCCATCTAGACCACTGGACATCGGTTTCTGAAACCGTTTGCAAAAGGTCACGTGGGCATCGGCGAATGGGGATACAGGACAACGGAGCAACCAATGGAATCACCCGACCGAACAACTAATCGCGACCAAAGGTCATCCCCTGCTAGCAGCACGTATATTAACACACGCACAACACTACCCAACGCACAACCACCAACCCACCGCTACGCGCTACTACGCTCCACAATAACGCACTGATGATGTCACCTCGATTGGTGATGAAACGTTTGCAATCAAATTGCCCAGCTCAGCGAACAAGCCAACGACCACCGTTTGCAACTCTGCTTTTAGAGCCTACCATAGGGTGAATCAGTTAGCGTTATGTATATTATTAGCGTATAGCGTAGCGACATCCCCTTGAGTAATCTCCGTTCCTAATTTAACACACTTAGCTAGGTGGAAAAACCAACAGCCGCCTGATCAACAACCACTAAACACAACCGCTTGCCAATATTTCGATACACCGATAAGACGCCTATATTGAGGGAACAAAATGGACTCGTATATATCATTATTTTTGGCAGTGGGGCTGCTGCAGAAATTACGGAACACACATCTGCATTTCGTTCGTATTGCATCTGAAATGTGAGATTCCAAAGCACTTCTTTCTTCCATCCCCTCTCAGGACTGATTGAATATAATTTCCAGATAATCAAAGACGGTCTTCAAAGGCTTCTCGAGGTCAGTCAACAACGCGTGCAGGATGAGCATGTGACTTTGCTGGCCCAACAGCAGCAGCGGCAACGACTACTGGATGGGATGCATGACAATGACCGAGGCGCTGGCAACTTTTCCGACATTGAATGCGAAGCTGTAGACGAAGATGATGACGAAGACGTCGGTCGCTTAGCTCTTGGGCCCACGGCGTCAAGAGTGCGCAAGCAACACTTTGATCGACGTCTCGGGAACTCTGGTTAAAATGACTGATTTTATTATTTCCCTGCTTGTTTCAGTTTCCCATTTGTGAATATGTGCTATCATTGACTTGTAATTTCCCATTTGCGTATACTGTGTCGATTTTGGTTAGTAGTAGAGATAGAATCAGTCTGATTTCTCTATCATCGCTTCTTATTTTCCTGGATCTGATGAGTTGAGTAAATCGGTTGGTTTTGTTTTTCCTTCTTTCTGAGATTTGTTCGGTACCCTTGGGAGGTGTTCGTCGAAGACAGTCTCTGTGACTGACAAGAAATGGACTGACCGAAATGACACCTGCTATTAAGGAGATGATTTGATATGCCAAACTGTTTTTGTTGGTCAGTTCGTTGCCCATATGGACATTTCATTCAACCTCCTCTGGCATGCGCATCTACTGAAGCTCTTCCATCCACAACAACTTGTCCGTGAGTGAATGTTGTGTTCCTGTAAGTCGATAAAAAAAAGACGCTCCACTGAGGGGAAATCTGTTTTTTAACACAAAACCATAGGTTTTATCAGATCATAAACGACACTGTTTGTCGTTCTTTGCGTGTTTCATAGGATGTCCAAGCGTCCACCGGCGGACGCTTGACACTTGACATCTCTCTCTGTGTTTGGCCGAAATCGCCAGTACCTCTAACCTGCAATATTAAGAAACACCTGGGTGTTGCTGTTTGGATAGACGAAGCTCGAGTTCGCTTTCAACGGTAAGCTCTTGGTTAGTTGGATGACAATTTATCAGACACGTATCATTATCAGCTTTCGATTTCGCCAACTTGTAGTGCACTTACATGCTCTGTAGCATATACACCCTAGGTTAAATGCTATAAAGCGAATCCGAGAACTGGCGACACTTGTTCTCCTGATTCTTGTGGTTTCCTTTATGAAGTAGTCTTCCAAAAAACAATGTTGTTCAACCCTCTGGTATCAATCAAAGCCTCCCGGAAACTACGCGGTGGATTGTTTTCAGGACTCTTGGAACGATGACTCGTTGACCCGTTCTCATCACCTGGTTGATTTATCCTGTTATGCTCACTGAGACACTCAGGATGCATGTTGGATTTCATTCCACATTGGGTTCATTCAGTGTGGATCGCACATGCCAGGCGCATAAGGGAGGTTGAATAAGAGTTAACTCTAAATATTCACTCGTGTTACAGAAAGAATGTCCGGTAAATAGCGGCAAATGTCCTGTGGGTCAGCGATGAAGTGAACGCATCTGAGCATCACATCAAAACAAGATGTCACCAGTGATATTGATCCGATTGCGTACCTCATTTCATCTGAATCCATCACACAATGACAGGTTCCAAAGGGGGTGCTGAGAATTTTTTGAAAACGTTGTTCTTCGCCAGACGTCCGCGTTCAAAGAGTGGAAAGGACATGTTGATCGTTTGACTAGTAAGAACTAGTATAAGAATGCTTGTCACTGTGCGACTGGTGAAATTCATGAGGGATTGACCGGGGTACATTGCCCGCTTCCCAAAATGTATCCAAATCCAGTGGTGGACTTATCATGGAGATGAGGGTCATGAACCACTGACTGAACAATGGGCCTGGGCTGGTAATGGTGTCACGAATTCTGTTCCCTCAAATACTGTTGTAAACAAGAACTGGAAATGATTAGAAACCTTAAGGATGATCCCCAACCTAGTGGGGATGCAGTGACTGCTAGCAACCGAACGTGAACGGCTGTACCGTGTTTGATATCACTTAAAAGTTCCATATCAAACAGTTTTACTATAGTTCATGTTTTGTTATAGGTGATATACTAGGCCCGCATAATTTGGATGCTATTTGCGGTGCCCATTCATGGATTCACGCTCCCGATCAGCAGTAGCGTATTCATTCTGACATTGGGTGAATAAATCGATTATTCATAGAGCTTCCACTCATAAGCAGTGTACTGTGTGTAATCAGAAAATGTGGGGAATTCTCTCCAACTGATCCACTAGGTGGTGAGCATGTGTTTCACGAAACTGCAAAGCAGGTAACAATACCATCTTGAATAGACTGGATCTTGTCGTGGTGTGATCGCTTGTGTACCTAGGCGACCGGTTGAGCTATATTGGAGGTTGTTCGCGCGATACTCGCAGTCTCTCATTCCAGGTTGGTCAATCGTTAGAGGTCTGACCAACACAGTCTCTTGATCTTGTTCCATTAACTTGGTAATGTACTTGCATCCCCCGCCAAACACCGCTACCTTGCGGCCAGGTTTTTGAGCCAGTCTGGTCGGAGACCCTAATCGTCTTCCTCTCTAGGTGTGGGCTCCCTGACAGTATCCCAGCCCACGTACAATCATGATACTTACATAAACGATGATGATGGAGGTAACAATAAATGGCTGTTCCGGTTCAACCGATCTCAGAAACAGACTTCCAAAACTACCCTACAACTGGTTGTTCTACTCAGGTAGATATAGCAACCATAAAATTTCACGATAATCATTCAGTACTAGTGTGATCTCAGTGTTCCTGGGGGCGATCTTTCAGCTGTAGCACCCCTTTGGTGCCTAGCTACCATCCCACACGGAGGCACAACAGCTTGGATACTGCCAGGTTGCCCAAGCCTAGACAATGAAGTCGAGAGGCAGAGGTCGGGCTCGAACCACGGACCTTCCGGTCAGTAAATTCGCGCTCTAACCATTTGGTCCCTCTCGTCCCTCTCAGTGTTCCTAGTGACCTATTATCCATTCTTGGCATGCAGTCATGAAGTATCATCATATGTTCTCTGCACAAATTTTGAGGCTAGTGGACATGCACGGACAAAGTTCAACAAACGGTGTCCAGGGCTATTCTAAGGTACCGCATGAATGTATCCGAAACCAATAACTCAAGTCACTGTACAGACGCACCAGTAAGACGGGTTATGAGTTGACGAAACGGTCTAGCTTCGAGAGCTTCCGTACGGTCGGATGTGAAGTACGACCAGGAGATAATCTAGGATCGGTGTGGAAGACACTTGGTCTCCCCAACATTTCTGGAACCACGACAGGTTAGCAGATCCAACCACTACTCTCTTTCTTTTTTTTTTTATATGTATATGAGACTTGGTATTTTTTATTTCGTCGTGTAAGTGAAGCCAATGCATGCTGAAAAGCCGCTCGTGGTCGAACGGTTGTTTAAAATACCAGGCAGGATGTCGCAAGTTCGACATCCCCTTGAGCTGCACACAGCTGAAAAAGCTGCACAGTGCTTCTCAACCCAGATGGTGTCTCTTCCAAGATGAAATCTCTGTACTGCTCGAGTTAGCCGTATTTGGGGGTTCGTTAGACAGTATTTCGGTCAATACTACGCAGGCCTACTAGCACTCGTGAGAGGCAGTGTCGCGAAAACCAAGCAGGATCCCGCCCGAACCATCGACGCATGGATAACATATTTACCTTGCGGTAAACTTCTCGAACACCAACACACACGGATCAAAGATTGCTGGATTCTTGAACTAAAAACAGCGTTCGACTTGGTCGATAGCGTCGCCTAGTGGCGATGCCCCTCCAACAGAGTTGTACGCAGCACTTTAGTCACACTTCTCCGATCCTTATGCTCTAAAGCTCGTGGGAGGTCATTCTCCTGAGTTCACCACCAAAAGTGGTATTCATCAGGGCTGCCCTTTTTCACCTTTCTCTTCAACTTCGCAATCGATTAAGTGTCAAAGATACCTTCGCGACGTCATCTGCCTCTGGCGTGGAGCTCCTTCCCGCGAAGGCCTTAGACACTTCGTGTATGCGAGCAACCCTGCACTATTTATTTCAGATTCCATCCAAATGCAACGACTAAACAATCTAGAGTTGCACGTTTTTTATATACGCCTGGCACCTTCAGAGTGACAAGTGCTAATATGAGATTGGAGTGCGCCAATTAGGCCAGTCATGGTAGTAAAATAACTAGATAGTGGGCAGATTGACGTATCTGGTTAGCTATATATCACGTCTAACGTCAGGAACGCTGACGAACTGAACATTAAGATGACCAAAGTCCGTTCTGCTTTTGTTCAACTTAGACACACCTAGGGTCGACAGTAGTCTCCCGGTGGAAGGCAGTGTCTACAGCGTGGCAGTGCGCCCAGTTCTGTTTTGCGATTGTGAAGCCAAGTCGCTGTGCTTTGAAGACAGATTGCTTGTGCAGTGCATTACACGTGAATCATGGGAACACCGACCTAGCAGTGCTGGAATGCGACGAAAGGTTTTGGCAACAAATCAGCTAATCGTCCAGTTGATTCGGCTGCGCTATGTTAACTGGGTTAGGTGTGCCGCATGCCAGGTAATCGAATGTCTCGCCGAGACCTGTTTGCTGAGGTAGGTTTCAAAACACTGTGGGGAGCGCATGACCTGGAGATTGGGCATGAGAAACTCGACGGAGTTTCACGACTGCATGCCGTACGCGAGCCTTGATTATCAAAGAACAACTACATCAGTAGTTAGAAGTACTCACGGACACGGCGACTTCATGCAACCAGTGGTGGTGTTGTATCCGCTCCTGTGTTCCTGATCATTGACCCGAAACTACTTTTTCGGGCTCCTAAAAACGTTTCCTGTACCCCTGCCTGTGAATGCAGCGATCCGAACTGTACATGGTTGAGAAACTGAATAGGACTGCTGTCTACGCCAATTACGCTCTGCATCCGACAGGGTTAACTGACTGTCCTGAAATCCAGTGTATGTTATTCAGGGCTTCATCACAGATGCCCCCAGGAGCTATCCCGACATCACTAGTCCTCGTAACCAGTAGACCAAAACGGGAACAATGAGCCAAACATGCCAAGCGATTAAACCTCCCAAACACGACCACCAATCCGGATAAACACAAGTTCGGGCCGACCATTTTCGACACAATCGAGAATCGTGTCCGCATATTTTTAAGGTTCTAGCCAACCTCGATTTCCCTCATCCTGTGGCCTTGATCGCAGTCCGCTATTTGAGTGCTAGATTAACTGGATTGTTATATTCATGGATGTATCATTCATACCTTTACAGACCCACTCAGTGCATAGCAGCAGGTGACGTTAAGCCAGAAGATAGTGCGCCTTTCAACTCGAACGTTCCATAATTCTGATCCCATTACAATCGTCGAATACAAGCACCGGGGAGCCTTCCTACTCTACACGTTTGTTACGACACCTTCGGAAGCGAGCTCGGAAACAGCTATTCCACCGTATGACGGTCGACACTGATATAGACTGACACAAGTCTACGGCCTTTGTGTTATGAAAATGACAACGCGAGTACCCTGTAGCTTCGACACTGAGTTTGCGCTACGGTTACAGGTGTTCTCGAACGTTCCATAATTCTGATCCCATTACAATCGTCGAATACAAGCACCGGGGAGCCTTCCTACTCTACACGTTTGTTACGACACCTTCGGAAGCGAGCTCGGAAACAGCTATTCCACCGTATGACGGTCGACACTGATATAGACTGACACAAGTCTACGGCCTTTGTGTTATGAAAATGACAACGCGAGTACCCTGTAGCTTCGACACTGAGTTTGCGCTACGGTTACCTACAGGTGTTCGACGCATTTTCAGCCACAAGAAAGCCCAGCGTGAGAAACCGGAGTCACTGCCCGTCAGGGCTCCTCGCTTCGCATGAACGATCAATCATCGTCAGACCGAACGGACGTCGTCGCCCGTAACGTCATTGCCGGACACCCAAGTATCTAGCACCTTCATGCAAGTTCTAGACGTCCTCCATGGTATTACTCACTCCGGCATCTGCGTCCAACTGAACCCTAATGTGCTGAATATATATCAGTGGTCCTGGTCTTCTTTGGTTTGCTAACAGGCCAACGCCCAACATCACACTATATCTACTACTAGTTCGCACCCTCAAGCAAGCCCGTTTGGCACACGCACAACCAAAAAACCCAAATTGTTCAGCATGTCTTATGTGCACATGAAGCCACCTAGCAGGTGGGTAGATCAATCGACAGTCATTTCGAGAGATCTACATCTCCAGAAACTCAGTCAAGCAATCTGGACAGAAAATGACAGCTCCTATTCATATTATTTGGTAGTCACATCTTGCAGCGCATCCAACCAGGCACAGTGGGATCATGCGGTCCCTATTCTGGAAGGCGAGTGGCACTGATAGCACCCAAACGTTCCGTACTCTTTCATACCCCTCTGCCAGGTCAAGTGTTGGCCACCTCTCTGTTTCCGTCACTCTTAATAGGTTATGGAAAACAAGGGGGCGAGACGGCTCAGTGGTTAGAGCGCACTTCACTGAAAGTTCGGTGGTTCGAACTCGACCTCTGCCTCTCGACGTCCCTTTTCTAGGCCTGGGCAACCTTGCAGTATCCGAGCCCTCGTGCTTCCTTCTGAGGCAACGAAAGGGTGTCACACCTGAGCAAACGACTGTTCGGCATGCGCAGTACATGGCCTAATCAACGCATTTTCTGATGCTGGGTACCTTCAATGGAGGTCCCCGTTGCACAACCAAAATCTTACTCTCCAATTGGCGCCTTACGGATTCACCGACACCAACCCACACGTGCTCTGGTTTTTAGACAACGGTAGGTAGGTAAAACGCTCCACAAATTCGAGTACCCCCCTGAGCTATAAATGGCGCATTGGGTGACTGCAGGCCAGCGAGCACGACCTTCCACTTTGTGGGTGCAAAGTGCACACAAAGGCACGACGACTTTGGTCAATTCATCCAAGAAGCGCCTGTACCTTCATCTCCTATTTGAAGACGAGAACGATGTCGTCCGCACATTGCAGATTGACAGAGTTTTTGTTAGAGGCTATCCGAACCGCGTGGTTTTGGGGACCTTCCAGCGTTCGTCTCATGGTTTCATCGATCAGGAAGTTAAACAGGAATGGGGAAAGTGGGCATCCCTCACAATGTCTTTCAAATGATTCATGGCTGTAGGGCAGCTTGACACTGATGTCAAGCTGTCGATGATGATGGCGCCACTTGACGATCCCGTGTGGACCGATTTTCCCTAGTTTTAAGTCTCACAGCTGTACATGGGTTGGGATGTTGCCAACGCGCCATCTGGAGAGGACGACTAGGGTGTTGACGATTTTCCCTAGTTTTAAGTCTCACAGCTGCACATGGGTTGGGATGTTGCCAACGCGCCCACATCTGGAGAGGACGACTAGGGTGTTGAACCATAGCCTTTGGTTCAAGCCTGAATACAAGGCAGCCGTGTTTGGCGGGGAATGCAAGTTTATTCCAAAGTTTACAGAACAGGCACCACATGTTCCAATCCCCTAACTGGACCCAAGCTACAATTTGGTTACTTAAACCCTATTCCTCCACGTGAGATGACGCGATAGCCGTGGGAGCACTGGCGCCTCGTAGTTCTTACTCCATCAGCGAAGTTTCACACTTGAAGCCTACCGGAGTTTACAGTGGAGATGAAGTCATGCCACTTACATGCAAGAACCGTTCCGCCGATTGTATCTGCGCTCATTCTACTCCCCCACTTATGTGATGATACCAGTCGCCTTTGGAATTCCAGAAACCCTCTGTACCGACATTTACTACGTTTTGCCCCGTACCAAAAAATGGCGCGCAAATTTGATTGGCACTAGACAGACCTGAGTCCACGCTGTTTCCTTTAGGTGGTTATATTGAAAAGTGACGCGTATAGTCCGAAAGTCTCCGGAGGGAGAGCGCAACCAATCATCCCGTCATGCGGTGAGATGGGCAGAATCCGGCTAGTAGGTGACTGACCTACTCCGATAAATCGATCCGGGTGGAAATGGCTTCAAGGTCCAATGATCAGAATAACAAACCACGATTAAGAACCACCATTTATTAACAAAACGTTCATCTCAATCGTCTGGCTTCACGTTCAGTTTCCAGGAGGGTCAAGATATCCCCCTCTCGAATGGGCCCTTTTACGTTCCGAATAATTGACCGATGACTGTCATCCAGAAACTCGACACGAACCTGGGTACATTGGCCTTGGGAACCAGTTCGACCCACAACTGTCTTCACCTGTAAAGAGGATCAGAAATAATACACATGGCATCCACCCATACCTTCGCAAGCCTCGGTTGAACCGTACCTTTGTCCATGCTGCAGCCGACTCAGATACAGCGCTGAAATGTGTTCACCCCAAACGACTAAAACAACCTTAGTTCAACCAACGACTATACGTCCACTGGTAAAACTTCCGAGATGCCTTTGTTCCTACCATAACGTTTGGCGCAGAATGCCACGGTTCATGGAGACTTAGAAGTTTGTTTTTCATATTTTATCAGTCAATTGTTCAGGAAATCTCGTTACAATGGACCAAATGACCTAAACTATCGGGCAGGCGCTCAGTATTTGTACAATGGAATTGAAGTTTCGAAAGTTATGACGTGTCCCTGATGGAATAAGGCAATCAGGCAATCGAGTATATAGTACCAGTCCAAACTTTCAAGCCCAATTAAGGCATCGGGGTCTCATAGATACTTGGAAACTATCCCACAGGACTTTTCAGGCAGAGGCATGTTTGCTCCAATCAACAATGAAATTTGGTGAGCTACAAAAATTTGAAAGTAGATTACGATGATTTTGGAGTTGAGCACATACGCAATGGAATGCAACGTTTCAGCGTAAAAAGTTTCACCTCGTTTGTAGGTGTTTTCCAACTGAGATCATTGTGCGGATAATGGTCAAGGTCTGCATGGGGCACGAAGTTCACATTTTATTGGCTGCCACGGCTCCGTCAAGACGGTGGGATATTTGGTGGAGGAGTTGGCTTCTTCACGTGTTCCCTCATTAATTGGATTGGAAAACTTTTCGGAAGGTGTAACTGAAAGTAATCGCGTTGTCTTGCCCGCGCAATTTTCAAAGTGAGCGGCCATTAGGAACTCATGCAGAAATTTGTTCCCTATTTCGCAGCAGGCGTTCTGCCACACAAGGTCAAAGAATTCGTCACAGATTGTATGTCTGATGGATTTTTCTGATAGCTAGCACATCTTGTATCGAGTGGAGGGCAAGTTTTTCGCCAGTACAGTGAAAAGTTGTGGCTCCGCGGAAAGCAGGAGCAGACAACACAATAGGCATGACAATACTCCTGGTACAAGTTTGGTGGCTTTAGATGGTGTGTTTGGGTGCATATGCACGCACGCTCGGGTATAAAAGAAACAGGATGGATCATGGTCAAGCTAACAGACTGGGTATGGCGGTTGCAGTACCGTCACGTCGACGTCATACTCGGGTCCGTGGACAGTCCCGTATGCAAAAATCCAGGGTGAGTCGGTTTGGTTGTCAGGATATTTAAGATTTAGATCAGTGTGGACCAATGAACCGTCCAGAGAGGGTGCGGCCTGGTTACTTACTACCATTCAGACGAGGTATTATGCTCCCGTATGTAGATTGGAGACTCGAAATGAAAAAAAGCGTCAAGAGGTCCTGCTAGAGGGTAATGTGGCATAAGCTAGACTGCGGCGCGAAATAGAAGGCAGCTATGGTTGGTTGCAATTTTTTACTACTGTGGTGAGGCGACACCGCTAGAATTAAAAGACGATAATCGATATTCAGGTGGATGTATTAGGGGATCGTGGTATGCGGTCGATCCGAAGGGGTGTGGGCGTGCCTGATGGTACACCAATAAAAACAGTTAGTTTTGCAGTTCTCCATGGAGCTGGACAGGGGTGTGAGTAGATAACTCTCGAAGCCATGGATGAAGCGTGTCTTCCAAGCAAGCAATTAGTTCCGTAGCATTATTATGCATTGGAAATTTCTGAGGCTGCAAACGGACACAATTTGCCAGCCGGATGTTACAGTGAACAGTAGATTGTTTGCTAATGATACGAATGGTTTTCTGACATCACGCCGCTGGGATGGGTGTGCTAGCCAACGATTTTTGGGCAGCGGGACTTGAGCATACCTTCCGCTGACGGATGATGTGGGGCGTCTTCAGTTTTTTCAACACGTATGCCTCAGAAGCGTTGCTGGCTTCTGCAAATTAGTGATGTGTTGACCGGAAAATGGGTAATTGGTTTTGCAGCACGTAGTTCAATCGCGGAACACATCCGGAATCGCCGATTACCAAAAACAGTCCGTGTTCTAACGATGCCGAACTACGGCTACTGAAAAGAGTTGTCCTCCGTGCCTCCTTCACAATCGCGCAAACCGTGGGGTAAAAAACGTATCACTTGGTAGAAGGCTGTGAGAGAAACTTCGAAGAGTTTGGGTGTTGTTGGATTTGTACACCCTTCAGGGTGGAATGCGAAGAGTTTGGGTGTTGTTGGAGTTGTACACCCTTCAGGGTGGAATTCCCTGAAACCCCGCCTGCGCTTTACTGGAAACGTTGCAGGTGGCTGGTCGACGTCAATGGAGTGCATAGCATTAGTTTATTTCGAAAATTCAGTTCAATTTATCATTTGTTAATTGTGTGTCATAAGCGCATTGATCTCAGCTACTACATTTTTGGACTTCGGAAAGCTGGGAAGTGTTTTTTATACTGCCAACCAATTCAGGCATGAGAACGTTCAGTTAGTTTCGGGGCTAGGTAGTTACGCAATAAAGGCTATTGCTGGATGCTTGTTAAAGGCTATTGCTTAGATGCTTGTGTGCCACTGTTTTTGCGATTAGACCATTTTTCCAATGTCAGTGACCGATTTTGAGGGGAAGACAGCGTCTCTGCTTTCATAAATATGAACATGCTTTTCACATTCCTGCCTTCGCACTCTTATCGCAGATAACAGTACTTCTTTGTAGAATGTCTCGCTTGGAGGACAAAGGCGGGACTGGCAAAATTGTTGAAATATATGTTACTTAAATGTGGGTTGAAATGCATTTGTTCCCGGGAAAACGAGACGGAGTAACCTTCGCGGTCCCCAACCAGATCATCATCATCGGAGACATTGTATGTGAAGTGGCTGGCTTAGCCTCTATCGTATTCAGATAGTTTGGGCAATATCATGGACGTGGAAACGAGTGGCAACACTTTGGCTTGAACAATGAGTTAGATAACGCCCAAAAACATATGACTGACTGAGGGATTTCTCATGGCGAAAAGAGGGGGCGGCTTTGAACTCCTTATGCGTGCCTGGGATGTGGATGCTTTTTTAGCTATGACCGGATGCTGGTGAGCGCATTAGTTTTTTAAACACAGAAGCACCAGGGCTGCTAAGCAGTTTTCCATAACGGATGTCCTAGTCGATGACAGTGCCACTGCAAATGACTATGGGCCGTTATAAATTATGGTGTGGAAGATGGAGCTGCTGATTCTGTCGTGCTTTAGGGAAGCAGAAGTGGGATAAAATCAGGTTTAGTGACAGTCAATAGCCGTCCAGTCACCAGATATTCGCTACGGCTTCGTCCATGGGTAAACGTTCAATGAATTATGAGGTCATTCAACTCTAGGAATCAAGTGTATGCAACTTGGGCTCACGACAACCTTGTATACACACCCTCTTTAGTTTCAACTCGCTGGGTCCAAATGTGGTGTACGCATGGATGCTTCATTCGCGTCAGCGGTGCCAGATGGCCAAGAATTTTGTTCTTATGACAGCGGGATGTCCACATAATCTTATCGAAAGTTTAAACGAGATTAAATTTAATATACATATTTCATTTCAGATGCTTCGTCGATTGAAGGTGTTTTGCTAGAAGACAAACAGAGCGACTATCCATTATTGTTGTACTATTCAACGTATAAAAACGTTTCTGAATTGACTTTTTCATAATTTTCAAGCGCAAGCATGGCTAAGCGACAGTGCACACGATAATGAAAATGAAAAGCCATCGTCTAAGGGGTTACGTCTGAGGAGCGTAAAGCCTTCAAACATTACACTCAGATTCACCCAGGTAAGATTCGCATTCGATATCCCGTAGGTTTTGTCTCACGATAGAGGAACACCGGGGTATGCTAAACTATGCTAAAGTGTGATTTAGCGCCTACTTACGTAAAGTGGTAACAAAATGCAAATCGTTGGTGGTAGGTGACCTGGTGATTTTGCTCAATTACAAAATGTCATGAAAGAAATAACCGAAATGCACAAACGGGTGAGACTAACTCCTCGAAAAATTCACAACTTCAAAATCCTCATAGTTTCGACGAAATTATTTTCGGCTTACTTCAAGAGAGTGGGGCTTCTGCCGATTATTGCCAGGCCTGCAATTTTTCCCAAAACCGTTTTTTGTCGGGTACAAATTTTTGCTTGATGATGTATTTGTCTGCATGTGTGCACACACCGGGGAATCCGTAATCTGCCTTCTTTTTGTTGAGAGTTGTGTTGTTTATTCTCTCTTCAAAATTTTTGGCGCGCTTTCGATTGTAGTTTTGCAGTCTTGACTCATTCGGCCGCGTCTTAGACGCTCACCCAAAATTTCCCTGAAACCGCGGCTCGAAAGGGAAAAACTTTAACATAATGCCTTAGCATTTAATGGTAATTATTCGGGTCCTTCAGATCTCCCCACCCGGCCGCAGTTTTATTAGAAGTTGTTTAAATGTACTCCGGGTCCACCGTGGGCATGGAATTTGTATTTTAATGGCTACCGATCGCTTGGAGCATTGTCCCTGTAAAAACGGTGGGAAATATTAGATATAGTTAATTACGGGCAAGCCATCAGACTGGGTATTTTAGTCACCGTACCGTCGTCGCGACCCCGTACTTCGGTTTGTGGGAAAAACGGTGGGAAATATTAGATATAGTTAATTACGGGCAAGCCATCAGACTGGGTATTTTAATCACCGTACCGTCTTCGCGACCCCCTACTTCGGTTCGTGGACAGCCCCGTACACGTACGTCTTGGATGAACCGTTTGTGGTTGTCATTGTAGTTAGGATAGTCTTGGGTCTATCGAGGGTTTGTGGTGGTTCACTGCTGCCTTTCAAGCAAGGGACTCAAAATGGGACAAATGTCCGAAAGTTTTGCTAGAAAGCACTCTGGTGTGAGTTAGAATGCCTGCCGAAATGATAGACAGTCAAAAGTTACCACAATTCCGAACTGATTCAATGGTACGGTACTGCCCGATTTGAAAGCAATAATCGATGCGAACTGGAGTTGGCATATGTGATTATGAGGGACTTGCATTGACTAGATTGTGCGCAACTAAGGTAGCCCGGGGCTTACAAAGACATGAGACCAGAGATATCTGGTGTTGCTGCGCGTTTGTACGATTAGTTGCATTCAGCATGGAGCTCTTACAGCCTTAAGAAAAGCGCAGAGCCTTGCAAAACCAGTTGCGTCTGAAGCGTCATATCATGTGTATTTGGTGAGTATCTGCCAGCGTCTCTTGCTCTTCTACCAG